TGGGCTGGGTGTGGGTTAGGGGTGGGATTGGCGGGTTTCGGGTGGGGAACAGGTTGGGAGTTGGATGGTCTGGTGTAGCCTTGTGAGCATGTGGTGGAGTACCCGGCGACGCTAGAGGGAAAATGGGAAGGACGCCAAGGAATGACGGAGAAGGAACTAGAGACTCTGTCTGGGAAGAGACTGTGGAGTATGGAAATTGACTTTCTTGGAACTGAACATGACGAGATATGTATATGCGACCGGAGGTAATATCAAAACAGCGATACCCCTTGGAGGAGGAATCGTACCCAAGAAAGACACACGGTTTGGACCGAGGCTGGAACTTATTTGTGATTTCGTGGCGTAGACACGGGTACGCTAAGCATCCAAAGACTCGGAGAAGACTATAGTCTGGGACTTTTTGAAACAGAGACTCAAAAGGAGATTTGTGATTAAGAGACCTTTTTGGCATGCGATTTATCAGGAAATTGGCAGTAGCCAACGCCTCGACCCAAAATTTAGCTGGGAGATTGGCGGTGCAGTGAAGTGTGACAAGAGTTTCAACCAAGTGACGATGCTTTCTTTCAACGACACCATTTTGTTCAGGAGTATATGGACAGGATTTTTGGTGAAGAATCCCCAAGTTTTGTAAAAACAACCCAAACTTTTTATTGACATATTTCCGCTCATTATCTGTGCGAAAGAGTTTAAGGTGCGCATTGAACTGAGTACGAACCATGGATTGAAAACTTTGAAAAGCATCAAACGCATCAGATTTATTTTTAAGAGGGTACAACCAACAAAACTTAGTATAATCATCTATAAAATTAATGTAAAAATGATATCCCCAAAAGAGGGTACAGAAGTAGGTCCCCATACATCAGAATGAATAAGTTCGAACGGAGCAGATGTTTTAGTATCTGACACTGGGAAGGGGAGTTTATGGGACTTAGCAAGAGAACATGAATTACAATGATCAATATGTTGAAACTTAAACCCCAATTGAGACAATAAGGACTGAGTAACTTGAACTGAGGGATGACCAAGACGGCAGTGCCATTGATACGGAGTGACTTTGACGGAGTTGACCACCAGTGTCCAGGTACCAGTTCGAACCAGACTCAGCGGATTGATTTGCATAATATGCCTGCGGTGGACCAGTGTATGATTCGTCGTAGCGGTGCCAACAATTCCAGACCGCATGGCCAGGTTTTCCACACAACTGGCAGGTAACGGACACCCCTCGGCCACCTCCTCTGCCGCGGGTGTCGTCACGGTACTGCGGCTGCCCTCCTCCTCTGCCGCTGGGTTGACTGTCGCGGTAAGGCCCTCCACGGCCTCGCGGTGGTCCTCGACCACGACCTCTACCATTGTCTCGTCCGGAATTAGTGAAAAGAACATTATGAATGTCAACGGACGAAGTAGAGCCGGAGTCACCGAGAGATAATTTCTTCTCAAAAGATAAGTTCAATTCTTCGGACAGCAACCAAGAGGAGACCTGATTAAACGTGACAGTGGCAATATTGGTGCGGATATTTTGCTTGAGGGAGGCATAATCGGCCGGTAGACCACGAAGAACACAGAGAATAACATCTTGTTCAGAAATTTCTTCATGAGCCAATTTGAGAGACGACACAATCGAGAGAACAGTGTCCAAATAGGATTGCATCGAATCGGTCCCTTTTGTAACACCATGTAATCGCTCCTTCAGTTGAAAAATATGAGTTCGGGAAAGAGAATTGTACCGTTGTTCTAGATGATTCCAGATTGCAGCCGAGGTGGGAAGAGCATGAATATGTGTTTGAACCATGGGTGAGACAATAGCAAGGAGACAGGCCCGAATCTGAACATCAATAATATTCCAGGATTCATAGGCCGGATTTGGTTTCATGACCGGCGGTTGATCCTTGCCGGGTGCCGCAGCCTTTTCATCAAGGACAAAGGACGGAGGAGACGATTCAGACCCATCCACGTAGCCGAGAAGACGATGAGCGAGGAGATTTGCACGTACGGTAGCCGACCAAGAGGGATAATTGGTGTCATCAAGCTTGACCGGGGTTAGAGATTGGAGATTCCGTACAAACAACTTGAGACCCGTAGGAAGACGATCCATAGGATCAGACGAGGTAGAAGCCATGGCTGTGCACGGCGTGATCGGCAGTGGAGAGATCGGCTCTGCCGATTTTTTTCGGTGATTAGCGCAGGAAAGGAAGAGAGAGGTTAGGATCTTTGTGCTCTGATACCATGTTGATTTAGTAATCCAACTCAACTGAATAATTGTATACATGGGTGTTTATATAGGTGAGCATCCCTACATGAATTAGGATTCACCAAACATGGAAACTAACATAAATAACAATTCTACCATAACTACACTTCTTGCCATATATGCCTAACAAAATCATTTTTTTTAAAATAATGAGATTTTGTAGGTTGTATAGACAATGGCAAATACGGTAAGACAGGTGTATTCTAATTTAAATAAAACTAGTATTGCACAAATGTATATACACTACACAAACATATTGTAACTAAATAAATCCGTAAACTATATGCAATGACTCATTATATTATACATACATATACGTTAAATCCACACCCTAAATTGTTACACCCACATTTTAACTTGTACTCCATATTTGTTAAATACATACCCATCAATATAAGTATCAATATGAATTTAACAAAGTTGGATAAGAAAAATGTGAATATAAACTTTTAGGGCATGGATTTAGTGTCACATATATCTTGAAATCTTAATGAATTAAACCGCTAGACCATCCACGGTCACCTGATTCCCTTCAGACTTGACCACTCTCTCTTCGAACTCAACGTATTTATACCACTTTGCGCACAACAGGTAGACGACAAAATCCGCCGCCGTCAGCGCCGCCAGGAGGAAATAAAACCGGTCCAGGTGTCCCCTGTTGAGGTTCCCGGGTATCCATCCGGGCATCCGATTGGCCGTGGATATCCGCATCACGACGCTGACCAGCAGACTGCTGACGTAGTTCCCGAGGGAGATGGACGTCATGCACAGCGCGCTCCCGAAGCTCTTCAGCCCGTCCGGCGCCTGCCGGTTGAAGAACTCCAGCTGTCCGACGTACATGAAAACCTCGGAGGCTCCGATCAGCGTGTACTGCGGGACCTGCCAGAATATGCTCAGGGAGGAGCTGGAATCCTCGCCGGCGGCCTCCAGACGGAAGTGCTCCACCGTGCCGGCGGCCACCATGGCGGCGACGGCGATGATCAGGCCGACGCCCATCCGCTGGAGCTCCGTCAAGCCCCGCACGGCGGGCTTCTTCCTCAGCGCCGCCACCAGGGGGTCGAGGAGGCGGCGGTAGATGAAGATGAAGGCGGCGACGCTGAGGATGTCGAAGCTGGACATGCTCGCCGCCGGGATGTGGAAGCCGAGGACCTCCGTCTTCATGGCGGCTCCCTGCTCGACGAAGAGGGACGCCATCTGGGTGAAGACGACGGAGTACAGTATGGTGCATAGCCATATCGGGAGAAGCCTCAAAATGCATTTCACTTCCTCTACTTGTGTTACGGTGCAGAGTTGCCACGTGTCCGCCTTTGCCGCATTCCTCGGCGCCACAGTTGCTGCCTTGTCGAGAACCCTGCTCATGCATGCATATATATTAGCCACTTTAACACAAAGTCCATTGTCAATAAAAAATATTTGCAATAAATAGTATTAAGTTAAGTCAATTTTCTAAACAGTACTTAAATTATTTTATTCCCAAAATAGTATTTAATAATGTCCGGAAGAAGAAGAAATATCTAGTGATAGCAAATATTTACTTGAACAATGACTAAGGAATAATGATTAAAAGTGCTACATTGGAAAAAAATACATGTGATGCTATTTAGGAAAAGTCATTTTGTTTTGGTGTTATTTAAGTAAATTTCCCTTGTCAATAAACCATGTTAATGGCCTAAATAGGACCATGACCACAACAAAGGAGAAATATCTAACTATGAGTAAAACATGCTTCAGATACTAAAATATGACTTTCAATACATTTATATTAAAATGCAAATAATACAAGTACAAAATTAAACATGAAGCTAATTAAAAAACATTGTGAAATGTCAACACAATGCTAAATCGGGAACCTTTTAGGTGTCAAGACTTCTACTAATGGAATAAAACACATAATGTCTTATTTTGGTAGAAGTTTTATGTTTTAATCTTATTTAGATTATCGGATATGACTGGTTATTTAATAAAGGAGGGACTAAAAGTTAAACCAACGTACCTAAATCCATCGGTGTGCAGTAGCTTTCTGGTGCCATTCTCTCCATCAACTTCATGCAGCTCATCAGCATCAGAGGGGAGTGGCACTCTCCATTTTCTAGCAGCAACCACCACAACCTGACAAAACCTGGAGAGAGGGTTGCCTTGGGGGGCGACGTGTCTGTACCTTGGTATCCCAACTAGAAACAGGACCAAAGCCAAGAAAGCAGACACAGTCGACGCCCAGAACCCCAAAGCCCACATACCCTTGTCCTCAAAGTAGACGAGCACGGTGTTGGAGAAGAGAGAGCCGAGGTTCAGGGCCAAGTAGAAGTAGCTGAAGAAGGATACCTTCGAGTGACTCTCCTCTGGGTGACCCTCGTCGAACTGGTCTGCCCCGAATGTCGCAACATTGGGTTGGTACCCTCCGTTCCCTAGGGCGACTAGGTATATCGACACGTAGAACATCCCCAGCTTCAAAGACGAGTGGGGCCCGCACCGGGCTCCCTTGTCGCCGCAGCCTTCCGGCTGCAGCAGGAGAACGTGTGTGCACACCGAGAGCGACACAAGTCCCTGCGTCCAAGCAATTGGTGAGCAAAGAAGGGAGGAAAGGAAAATGCTAGAGTCACAAACAAATACGAGTAGTTCATAAACTTCACAAACTTGTTTTTTGTGGATTTTAAATTAAAATATCTTTTGTTATTTAAGTGCATCTTATTTCTAGAAAAATATTTAAAAAGTAAATTTGTAAATTTTGTTAGTTTTTTGTTTGTGACTCTAGCATTACTCGGGAAGAAAAAGTGAGAAAAGAGAGGGAGAAAAGGGACTCACAATGACATAAATGATTTGAAAAACGGCACAAGTTTTGAATCTTCCCCAATAAGAATCACTAAGAAAAGCACCAAGAAGGGAGAATATGTAAACAGTGCCGGTCCATTTGCTCACACTGTTGGCAGCTTCGGCATTGTCTTGGCCCATAACCCGAGTCAAAAACAGAACCAGGTTGACCCCTACACCAAAAAATGCCAATGTTGCTAGTCCTTGGTTCACTGCATTTATACATTTACAAATCAATCATCAAATGTAAAGTAATACTCCAAAAATCTGTCTTGATGTTGGGTGGTGACTAGTGATGGGCTGAAAGCACACCCCCCAAAAATTCTAAATACACCACATATAAAGAGTGTGGAGTATTATTTAGATAATTAAATAAACTTTAATTATGTGCGCGATCGAAAAATGAAAAAATTACATTTATCTATTTTTTTTCTAGAGATTGAGAGCATGTAAAGTGAAAGAGAAGCAAAGAGCGACTCCACATGAAGAAAAAAAGAAATTTCTCGCTCTCGTTCCAATCATCAACACTCTCGCCAGGAAAAAAAACTCAACAAACGTAATTTTAAGCTTGTTCGTCAGGCAACAAAGATCTGATAATAGCTACTCCCTCCGTTCTTAAAAGCACTTCCTCTTTCATTTTTTTCACTTCCAACAAAACACTTCTACTTTCTATTAAAAAACCACTTTTACCCTTACTTTTTCATACCCTACCTATCATATCATACTTTATCTCTAATAATCTATCCATCACATCTTACTTTTACCTATCACATCAAGGGCAAAATTGGAAGTCAACTACAATTTAATACTTTCTTATTTTTACACAAAGTCAAAAGAGGAACACTTTTTCCAAACGGAGGGAGTAATTTTTATCCTCCAACAACAGCTTCTACCAACTTAATTCCAGTACATGTGATCCAAGCTACTCCTCGTTAACGATGATCAGCGGGGAGATATTAGGAATATTAGATAATAGGAAATATATATTTTATTTTAATTACTTTCATTATCATATTGTTTTCCTTCTTGTATTGTTACTATGTTTGATCTCTTAGCATTGATTACAACTCTCTTATGTAATGCCTATAAATAGGGATATATCCTTCATTCTTCGATAAGACTAATTATTATGAAATTGTATCATTTACTATATTATATGGAGTATGGTAACTTTTATTTTTATCACTTTTTATATTTTGTCAAAATTTTGATATAATTTCTAGTTATGTATCAATTTCCAAAAAAAGATTTATAAAAAATCCTTTCTTTATTTTACCTCAGTAAAAATCACCCGAACCCCTTCGGTGACGAATGTAATATCTAGAAATTATTTTGGAAGATTATATTTAAATGACAATATATTGAAATTATATTGTTTTATGGAAATATGTGATACAATCTCATTAATTTCGTAACTAAAATTCCTCAAATTTGACTGAAAAAATTACTATATGATTTCGAAATATCAATTTTAAACATATATGCTAATAAACAAATTGTCTTCCAAATAGATAGTGGTTAAGGTCCAATTTAAAAGTCTAAGGCCCACAATTCTAATAAAGCTATTTTGATCCAAACTTTTTGTGAGTGCAATAGAGATGGGTGAAGGTGGGTTTGGGTCATGGCTAGGTAGAGGGTTACAAAAATGTTGAGTGTGCCCCAAATTAAATTTGTACTCAATTTTGACAAAATTTTATTGCAAACATCACATACATTCAGAAATGTTCTGTGTATTCATCAAATATATTTAGGTTTCGTTTGATATATGGAATTGATGAAATTGGAATTGAATTTGAATTGAAGTTGCATGAAATTCAATTTCATAAAAATGAACACCAATTCCAATTCATTTTTTGCCCTATAATCTACATAAGTTTTGTGCTACCAAACACCAGAATTTAAATTGAAGTCCTCAATTTCAATTTCATAATTTAAAGTTCTTAAGAAACAAAGTAAAGGCTAGGTTATGTCAAATTGGAGTATCCCAAGCATAATTCTTTATTTATGTCTTTTCCTATAAAAGAAATTCATAATTTCTATTTTTACCTAACAAAAGTGCACCAGAAAGCCATCCTCCGGTGTTAGCTCTCACAGCAGGTCGACCGTGCCGATCAATACTTCCATCAAGGGTGCACTTCTCTCTGCTCCCCTTTTCCTCCGTTTTGCCCTGGAAAAAAAATGTCACGTTTTGTAATAATTTAAAAATAATAATGCCAGGTTTTTTGTGATTTCAAGATTGGCGTTGTTGTTAATTATTAACGGGATGGGATTAACGAGTTCTCTAATGAGTCATGTCAATTTTTGAACAAACCTTATTAGTTAGATGAGAAAGGTGTGTTACATAACCAATAATATAAATCATCAATTTGGCATGACCAACTAAAACATCAACCATACGCACTGTCTTGGCAAATTATATATGTAAATCTAAGTATCCAACATCAACCTCATTAATTATAAATGATATGTATATAAAAATACACACACACACCCTTCAATTTCCACCAGTAAAAGTTTTCCGATTTTGACTTTTGGGTGATTTAATGAAGATGTATTTTGGTGTTTGACCTTCCTCAAATGATCTTAGAATTTCTTTTTAAAAGTGAGAATAGTGCATGAGGAGTAATATAAAGTAAGATAAGATGTGACAGATGGGAAGTGGGAAAATAAGGGTAAAGAGGGCTATTTTAGTCTAGTTTCAATGAATTGAAATATTTTATGAGACGGATAAGATGAAAAAAATTAAAATATTGTGTTTTAGGAGGGATATATGAAGTATAAAATTAAATATGTTTATCATTTTTTCAAACAATTAATACCCACGTGTAAGTTTCGAGCAAAGAAATGGGTCTATGTGTGTCAAGTGATAAAGATGAGTTTTTGATTGGATAAGTTTCAATAATAATTTGAAGACACAAAATTCAAAGAAGAAAAAGAATTAGAGAGTAAAAGAGAAATTCAAAGAAGAAAAAGAATTAGAGAGTAAAAGAGAGAGTGATGATGATGATACATATACAAAATACAAATACACCGGAACCAAATAAGCCTTTAAAAGAAACGGGAGTTTGCATGCGAAAAGAGAACATAACAATAATAACAATACAAAGTATACGACATGGCGGATGGTGTGGGAGATATGTTCGATCACGACCAAAATCAGTAGTCCGTCCGTTTCCAGACTGACGACTGTCGGATGATTGTTACTTGCCGTGTGTGACTAGGCTTAACTTTGCCGGTTTTACTTGGATCATTTACAACTTTTTAACTTTTATAGTTTCTTTTCTTTGTTTACCCAAAATTTATGCTAGTGTGGAGAAAAAACAGTGAGTAGGTGAAATAGAATTGACTTGACTCGACTTTTGTTAACTTAGATTTGGTAAATATTTTGTCGTTAAAGTTTATTTACCTCGGTCGAGAGACAAAGCATGAGTCGTCTAAACAACGAAACTTTGTGTACAGCTTTTGTTGTACACCCATTATTTTATTGTGTTACTTAACGAATTAAATTTAAAACGTAGTTATTTAAAATTTTGGATTATTGATTAAATTAATATTTCCTACTTTAAGTGTATTGTGAAATATTTCTAATATGCACAAAAATAATTTGCGGAGTAAATAAATAAATAAATATAAACGCAAGTTCACATGGGATCACCATCGCATCACTGTCGTATAGGGTCCCTTTTCCCCCCATTTTTTACTCGGTAAATAATGAGTGCTTGAGTACTCTAATTTATTCTCTCTTAGAAAAAAGTGAAAAACATTTCCCTCCTTGGTAGATTTTTATCCACGATATTTATATGATCAAATTTAAATCACTTTGTTTACTTATTCTATAAAAATATAATCTTGTATCTCTTGTTTTGTAAAATTTTTTATATATTTTTCACCACATTAATTCTATTTTTAAATATTTTACGCCTAGAATCAAATACTCTATCTATTTCAAATCAAATTATTGTTGGCACATATCTCTCGATAATTTTGTTTGTTTATGCATTTTAAGTGATAAATCGGAAATTTTTATCACCTCTTGTTTTTTAGAATTTTCACCGTAGTTTTTTAATATGTAAGCTTTATTAATTATTCTTATTTCATTTTTAAATAAATAATTGATTTTAGAAAATAAAGAGGTTTCTCTTGTAAATCGGTGATTGTAATCCAATTTGGGACGAAGAGAATAAACTGAATTAAAAATAAAGTCGTTCAACTCGTAGAAAGTAATGGGATCGGAAGATCTATAGAAAAGAGATTAAATAAGAGTATCTTTTAAAATGATACTCCATATGAGTTATATAAATTGTATAGAAATAAATGATATCACTCAAAATTACATCAAAATGCCACCACCCTTTTCTAAATTTTTTGTTATTTTTCTAATTTAACACTCTATCATTAAAAACATTTTCAATTACACTTCTCCCTTAAAACCTTAGCTTCTTGGTTTTGTCTTTTAAAAAATTTAGGGGAGGAATTTTGGTGTTAATTTTTCAAAAATATTCTTAGATGCGATGAGTAAAAATAAGAAATGACGGGTAAATTGATAGTGAAAAAATGTGATATGATAGATATGTTAAGATTAATAAGAGTAAAAATGATTTTTTAATACAAAATATAAACTTCTTTTGGAATGGATACAAAAGACAGAAAACAGGTTTAAATTTACACATCATTACACATTCAAGGGTAATTTTGACAAGTAGAAAATATATTCTCCCTTAAATCCATCATTTTTTGAGATGGAGAAGGCATAAGAAAACTAAAAGGGAGACTAAAATTACTAACCATTTTGGCAAAATCTAAGCGAGACATTGTTCCTTTCTGCTACCATGCATCAAATTTTCCCCAGTATATATCTATTTGCACTTGAACTGCTTGCGATTGATATAATATATATACTCTTTTCTTACGTATATGTATATATATATATATATGGTGGAATTTAATATATATATATATATATGTAAATATATATGCTGAAGATGATGATGATCGATGAGATGGATATAGACAGTATATATACGTGTGTGTGCGCTATTAATATGATCAAATTCAAAATCAAATTTGAAAAGTTATAATATCAGGCAGGAAAAGCGGAATATGTAATTATGTATAAGAGAATTTTAGGTGGATATATTTATATAAGGGTTCGTGGAGCAATTATATACCTCTCCGTTCCAAAAAAAAATCGTCACACTTACTATTCTCGTTTAGCGATAAATTTTGTCTATCTGTGTTTGATTTTTTAATTGATTATTTAATAAAATACATAGATTTCTGATGCAATCCATTTTGAAAAATGTAATTTGTAACTTTTTATTCTATACCAATCTATAAATAAAATTATTTTAAAAGAGATGTGATTTTAGACGTAATGGAAGATTAATTTGAGACGGAAGGGTATATATATTAATTATATAGTCACAGCTAGCAAAAGCAACTACACGTATACGTACGTGTAGAAAAATGTGATCTGAGGCGGTGTTATTTGGGGGTACGTTTTATACGTGTGTGCATAAATACAATGATTGACAGCTAAAATCTTTTTTTAAGTAAGAGAAATGATTTATTCGATCACTCTGTGAGAGAAAAAGCAGGACGAAATTAAAATGATCGGGCGACGACGAAGAAGCTATGGACGCTAGCTTTTCCCCCCTAGTAAAGCTATGAATGAATATAGTGTACGTATTATACTTTTTCTTTTTATTTTAATTTTTGGAATTTTTCTCCCTTTTAATTTCTCAAATGCCAGTGTGGAGGGCGGGAAGTGGTGGTGGTTGGAAGGGGTGGACAATCGGCGGCCACGGTACGTGGTGGTGGTGGTACGTGGTGGTGAAGAGCGGCGCTGCGGCGGTGGCGCGTGGTTGTTTAATTTGCTTGGAGAGTTTTTAGTGACTTTGGTTGTGGTGTGTGTGGTAATCGGCGACGATAGTGGTGGTGGTTGACATAGGCGATAGTGGATGGTTGTTGGCCAACTCTAGTGGCGGTTTCTGGACAGCAATGATGACTGACAACGGTGGTGGTGGCGGAGGCTGGCTGACGATAATGGGCGCTGATGGTCGACAACATTTGTGGTTGTAGTTGACCACGGTGGTGATGGTGGTGGATGACATGTCGTGGTGGTTGTCGTGACTTATAGCAGTGGTGGTGAGGTGGCAATGGGAAGATATCAAAATTATCCTTAATTAATACGGAGTATCTTTGAAAATTTAGGAGACATTCAAATATTTACTTATTATTTAGTTAAAACATTTCTATCGTTTCTCAAGGTATCTGTCACTATATGTCTATATCTAACGTTTATCCCAAATGTCCATATGAAATACACACCCAATGACATTTGGTCCATTTGATCCAATTATTTGAGCCTTTTAGGTGTTGTTCAAATATTCATTTCCGTGAATGAATAAGAATTCATTTGCAATTTGTCAACTAGTTAAATTCATAATAACCCGATTTTTCACGTGAGACAAAATTAAATGGTAAGAAGTATCCTACATGGAAGTCGAAAAGAAATATATTGTTAGTAAGTATATAAACTTAATTTAATTTTTAAAATTGAATGATCCTAAATTCTAGCAAAACTTCTAAGAATCTTTTGAACGAGCAAATAAATACTTCAAGTTATATAAATGTTGATTACACATTATGATAGTTCTTAATCCGCATTTCACTATTAATAGTGGTACATGTTGCTATTAATAAGGTTTATGAATGCTTACTTAAATGAACTTCAGTTGAACTTTATAATTAACCTATCCTTTATTATGAGTAAATTATTATTACATGTTTTTATGTGTTCTTAAATAGGTCAAAAATACTAATACGTTATTTTCAACTTATAATAAGTTGATTTATTAGTGATTTGTAAGTAAAATATATAAATTCTTAAATCTTTTTTTCATTTTACCCTGTTGAGGCTTTGGGAACAACATTTTCGACTAGTGTTAGCTCTTTGGATAAAATTTTAATGGTGTAGATTAATTTTGAAAACGCTAACGCTGATTAAAGGCTACCGTCATATAGTCTTTTCAAAACGCTAATGTTAATCTCTAATGCTGATGCCAAGCGGAGCCTTAGTCATTCACAAAACTATTCCTATCTTTTTTTTAAAATCCTAATTAACAACGCTCACTCCATAAAAAAATATTTCAATAGAGTGAATAAGGGATTAAAAATTGAAAACAATTTACCAACCGTTTAGAATAAGCACAAACACCCCATAAGCTAAGTGGGCTTTGTTTCCCTACGTATCAATGGGCTTAAAGCATTAAAGATCACGTGAATAAACGTTCAAATATTCAATGAAAGAAAATGTTCAAGTCTAAATCAAACAACTAGTACACGCTTTTGAAATCCCACTAACACACATGTCAATTTCTAATGGATGTTGATTTAATTTCCAAAACTTTTTAATATTGTATACTCCAAAACTTTTTTAATATTGATTTAAAATTTAAACTCGGTCTAAAAAAATATTTTTACATTTGGGAAAGTTGGTACTCCGTATAATTTCGGTGAATTTTTGTTTTTGTTTATAAAGAAATCGAATGTTTTACCTCTAAACTTTTAAAAGTGTATCTTAATTAGTTTCTAAACGTATAAAGTACGTGAAATTTAAATTGAATAGTACTAAAACCTAAGTCATTTCTCAATGCAGTACTTAAACTTTTTTATTCTTTAAACAAGATTTAATAATGACTAGTGAGAAAAATAATGTCCAAGTGATGCTGGATATTTAGTTGAATAATGACTAATAGATAATGACCAATTGTCCTACATTAGGAAATAAAAATATATGGTCCTATATTGAGAAAGTCATTATTTTTTAGTCCTATTTATGTAAATTGTACTCCCTCCATTTACCAAAATTCTTTCTTTTTCATTCTTTTCTTTCATCAAAACATTTTTTCTTTATATTAAAAATTTAGTTTACTCCTACTTTTCTTATCTTACCTATCAGGATCATATTTTTTCATTAATAATTTACTCATCACATCAAAGACAAATTTGAAAAGTCAAATACAATTATTTCTCTCATTAGTCAAAATAGGAATCGTTTTAGTGAACAGAGGGAGGATGTGCTTTCCCATCGAACTTTCAAAGACTCACATATATTTTCAAAAAAATTGTAAATAAAAAAAAGATAAAATAAATTGGATGAAATAACTACTAAGTGTTTCTGTCTCAGAGTCATTTCGTGCCTCAGTTGATACGGTTGTTGGAGTTTGATCAAGGCATCATTGATTAGTGTGTTTTATTCATTTGGTTAAAGATCGAAGAAAATAATAAAAGTAAAACATTTCTGTATTGAGAAAATATAGGAAGAGGTTAAGAAAATAAATAAATTTCTATTCCTATAATTAATAACAAGAATATAAAATACTAGGAAAGTCACCAAATCGAATGAGATTCAGTTCCTTCTTTCTCTCTCTCTCTTAACATGTACCCCCTCAAATTAATAGGAGTTCACAAGCTCAAACTCTAGTGATGGAGAGCGGTAACTCCTTAGATCGACTCTAATAGGTTGAATTGAATAAAAGTATTTTTCAATATATATATATATATATATATATATATATATATATATAGATTTTGGTTCTGGTGAGAATGCGATCTTAGGAGAGAAATGAGAATGAATCTGGTGCTTTAGATTGTGAGATCTAAAGGTCAGGATTGCATCAAAATTAGATGCACCAAAATGGTTTAAAAATGCATCACGTCAAAATGCATCAAAATCCTTCGAAAATGCACTATCTGGAAATCTGAGCGCAGGATGCAATCTGAGCCACACGATGCATCAGATCCAACGGCTAGATTTTATTCTCATTTCTCTCCACAAGGTCCATTCTCACAGGAACCGGCCCC